TTGAATTCACAGGCTTACTCCACCAAGTTGTTTACACAAGGAACAGACGCAGGTAGCGCGCCAGCCGTAGTGCGGCCTTGCATACCCATGAAGGCACTAGGCCAACCGACTGCAATTCCCAAATAAGCTGTAGTCTAAACTCCAAGTCTCCCCCTTAAGAAGCCCTACACTAGGAACCCCATATAATTCCTGATATACCCCTTTGTAAGGAGTTTAGACTATGGCTCAAATGGCCCCAATCCATCTCTCATCACTTCTCACATCATCTGGGAACAATTCTGACATGGGCTGGGCCATGCCTCGGGGAAATGTTGGGCACACCAGCGCTAACACATACTTTTTGGATGGCGCCATTCGCCTCCAAAAGTGAAGGTGTCGTCTGGCGTGCAGAAAACATCCTCATGCTGCATGTCGAGAATTTCCTGCACGTACGCATGCAACCGGAAGTTCTCCCGCTGGGCATTTTTGGTTGCATGCTCCAGCTTTAGTGCATCCACCTCCTGTCGGATACGTGTAGCTTCATGTGGTTGGCCACGGTCTTCGGCTAGAGCAGCTCGGCGACGTACGATGCTGATGTCTCGGGCTCTGTCCACACCAGCTTGGTCTAAGCTCTTTCCAAACCTTTGGTTGCCACTTAAGGCAGACAGAGCCTCCCTGATCTCGTCTGAATTGTCTGGCCTAAGGTCCAATGCGAGCTCGGCTTGACGTTTTTTCCTAACCAGGCCTGATGAAAGCATCCTCTCCAGAATCCGCTGGCAAATGGAAGTTGTGTAGATCTGCATCTCATTGATATGTGCCCTTTTGCGAATCGTCGGAGCAATTCCCATGTCACGAGCCAGTACATCCTGCAAGCACTCTAGCACAGTGATGTGCTTCTGCGCCAATGACAGTCGTAAGCCTGACTTGCCGTTCATTGATATACAACCTTCTGCATCGAAGAAGCCGGTGAAGTATTCCCACGTGATGCGGATCCTGCGGCTGGAGTCGAACTCCTTCAGCGACCGGAGTTCTGCTGCGGAAGCTTCTCGCGCTCCCATCCCCCAAGGCCAGCATGCAGCAATTTGAAGCTGGTTTTTCTTTGTCACACTGTTTTGCGCTAGGAGGTTTGCCGCAAAATGCACCGAGTGTCGGTCCCGCAGTTGCCACTGCAAAGCTGGTTTCCTGAGACCTTTCCCATCGCCCAGGCGATATATGCCCCCGCCAAAGGCCCTGTGATACATCATGAGAACATCAGCCGAGTCATACGATTGTGTTACCTGCATACTACACGTTCGGTAGCCTTCCCTCCGGTTAGTCCCACTAGTACCGAAGGAGGTAACGCATCCATCACCATCAAAGAAGCCGGTCAAGTACTGCAGTCCCAGCACCATCGCCTCAGCACGGTCAAACGTCGGCGGCCCGCCATAGGTGCTCAAAGGTAAGGGGTACAAACGTTTGTCTGCCACAAATGATGTCAGCCGTGGCCAAGGGAGCTTCTCCAGTTTGGCACGCAAATGCACGTTCTTGTCGTGTAGAACCTCCAGGGAGTCACCAGGCAGCGCAAGGTTACAACCTGCAGCTCTATTTGTGGCTTTGTATGTACGGCCACAAAATCGGCAATGCGTGTCAGTGCTCCTTAGAAAACGTACCAACTGAGGCTGCGATGACCACGCTCGCATGCTGGTAACAATCGATTCGGGCAGAAAGAATTCAAGGGCATCGCATCAAAGGTGGCAACATTTGAAGGCTGAAGAGCTGTTTGAAGCTAATGGCACCACTTTCTGCGAATGCAACAAATTTCAGAACTAGGCCTTCTGGTCTTCGCCAAATGTAGGGTTTTCCGCGGTAGCTACATGAGCAAGTTACCACCAGGATTTCTAAAAGGCGAAGCAATTATAAGGCATCCGAGTCTTCGCAGTTGCACCCGCTTGTCCTGAATCCGTAAATCCCTACGGATCCAAGTATACAAATAATACCCACATTGGGCCCCCCAACGGCCAGCCTGGAGTCATTACACTGAAGACAAACCTTGATGCGTCGGCTGCGGCCACAAGTTAAGGCACGCAAACGAAGCGGAGTTGGAGCGGCCGTCGGTGAGCAATACAGTTGGCTCGCTGAAGTCGCCAGGCTGTAGCTGATCTGTTCATAGTCTATTTCAGCTTTACTCTGGAGAGGGAGGTACCGTGCCATTGCATTGACTTTGTGGAACGGTACAAAGCACTGAGGCCACGGCTCCGACAACCCCCTTGCCGGCGCCGGTCTTCTCAATGCACCTCCCAGCACTTGGGTTGACATTAGTAGAGTAATTATGGAGAATCAAATGGAAAGATGACATGGAAACCGGGACTACGTAAGGGCTGTTTAGTAAGGGAGACTTAAACATGTTTTTTCTGAACGCGACCAGGGTAGTGTATGCAACCATTCAATCTTCTATATGCAAATGCATCTCAACATGCTTTCAAGCCAAGACTCGACAAAATGCCACAAAAGCCTCCACAGGACTACGCCGAATCTGTCCACATTAATTTGCCTCCTATACTACCTGCGGCTCGACTACGGCGGCCCTAGCTGCTATAACTACCGCAGCAGAGGAACAAAGCTTTCCACTGTGAGTTTTCTTGCGCTGCAAATAACCATCCACGCAAAGCCAAGACCTGTGCATAGTGCCAACAGCATCCCTGCTGCACCACCTTTCGCCACACATGCTTCAAGGCAGCTCCATTCTTTTCTTTGCGCGTGCCCGGCTGCCCTTGACACTTGCTCCTCTCTGCATCCTGTTTCCTGTGCACGTGCTCAGAGATGGATTCTGCAACATGAGGCTGCAGACTTCTTTACCCAAGCCCCTAAAATTGGCGAAGTTGCCGCAACGGAAGAGGGTACTACAGGGCAATCACTGGTGTAATTGTTTACTATACTTATGTAAGGTGTGTTGGGCAATTGTCTTGGTCAATACTCAGTCTTCTACAATGCCTTGGCATGTCCACCCGTTACCAATCCACAAAGGCCCCAAAACGAAAATCCAAACAACAACCCTCCAGTAGCATCCCTACAGAACATGCGCGCAATTCTGCATGATCTTGAGTCTTGAGGATGCTATAGTACTATTACTATTACTATTACTATTGTTATTACTAATTACTATTATTATTACTATTATATAGCACGATTTCTGTTGGGTTCAGGTATTTAGCCATGTGAAGGGTCAGGAGCTCTAGGACCCAGCTGCTGAGTTTCCTGGCTCAAGGATGGTGGAGATTTGGACTCTAGTGGGGTCTAGGATACATATATATACATATATACTTACATGTATGTTGAATATGTATGTGTATATATATATATACGTACTTATAGCATCAAAGTTGAGAGGTTTCCGACCCAAATAGCAGTGGTTATAACCCAAGACTAACTGGACTTGTAACTGGATTCTCAATCAACAGTGTCATTCGGTCGGAACTACTTTGAGCCTCCGAGTATGCAGCAAGGATTCAGGCAACGCGAATCCACCCCGCGACATCTTCTAGGGCTGCCCGCTTCCCGCTCTGGGCGCGCGATCCCCCATGTCTTCCAAGATCCCCTATAAAGGGATGTACAAACCCAGATCCTTTTAAAACCACCCAAAATTCATGCCTTTTCCAGCTTTAATCATTTTCGGTCTTGAAGTTGCCACTTTGGGCGGTCAAGTTTTGAGGGTCCCCAAAATTTCACAGGCTAGGGTGCTGAGGTAGGCGTTGCAGGGTAGAAGTACCCACAAATAAAATTGCAGATATCACCAAATCATATTTATATTCTAGGACTCATATGAAGGCTTATGTCTTGGCTATTGGTACACTTCTTGGTTTGTTGTAATGACCCTACACTTGATGGGCTATGATCACTGCACGAGGGGAAGGCCTTGCAATCTTAGTACTACTGTTGATGGGCGAAGTCCTGCATGACCATGCATACCTCAACCCTATAGGCCTAATAAGTATGTTAGCACAACATACTCCAGGTAATTCAGGGTTATGTTCATCAACCGTAGCGCTGCCAACTTGTATCGTGAAAGAAATGAGTCTTTGCTGGAGGAACTACAGCTTGTTGGGAATTGCCGCAGCACAGAGCAGGAAGGGCTTGCCGGTCAGGACGTGAGAGTCCAAGGCAGTACAAGGCTTAGGCTATCCAGTACAAGGTCTACCAACCTATGTTTGAAAGCTTCACAATCAAAGCAACGTCTACTACTATGTACAAGGACTATGGAGGGCTGAGGGAAAAACAAAGGAGAGGGACACCCGCCGGGTTTGCTTTCAATCCTTGATGCAATCTCTACCTGGTTCCCCATCTTTTTTGGCGATTTAATGGGTCCTTTTCTGTTTGGGCTATCCCCCAAGCCCTCACTATATACTGCATCAATGCTTCCCTAGGAATACTCTGAAACCAGCAAAGGCTGGAGAGCCCAGCAGTTGGCCAAGAAAAGGCACTTCCCAACATCACAACTCCGCATACATCGACAGCCGAGATATGGCCTGCCACATGAGCTGTAGTCTAAACTCCTTTAAGGGAGTAAAGTTGGGGATTATGGGACTACTATAGGGCTTATTCCGGGGGATACCAGGAGTTTAGATAACGTTCTGTTGTACTGTCACTTGCGATCATGTCTGCTATCATCAGGCTGAGCGTATCGGAGTGCCCTTACTACGATGGATAGCAAAAATCTTCTACGACTTAGAACCCCAATAATACTGTAATTCCTGGGAGTAGGGTATAGAAGGTGGTGCCAGACTTCCATCATATCTTGCTCTCTTCCTGCTTCTGGCAACTGTGCTACTGTGACCTTAAGCGGCTGTCGTGGCAGGAACTAGGCAGACCAGGGCAAGGTACCAGAGCGCAGCAAAACCGAGAGATTGCATAATGTAGTCATGATGTGCGATGGCGGATCCCTATAGAATTCCTACACGATATATTCCCACCACTAAGAACCATAAGCTTGGCGAATCGCCCTACCATGCCCTCGCGCCTCCTGCCGCATGGTGCGCTTTCGGGCGTCAAATCGGAGGGATAGCCTTCTCGCGGATGAAGTCCACGAACGCGTGCCTTGACTCATCTTACTGATCCTTACTGTTGATACTAAAAATCCTGCATGACCTTAATATACTATAGTACTATAATTCCCAAGGTAGAAGGTACTTAGGGTCATGCAGGATTCTTAGTATCCACCGTAAATATGGGAATATACAATATTGGGATTATACAGGGGGGCTTAGGGTTTATGATTTAGGGTTTAGGGCTGTAATTTAGGGAATCTTGTTACCTTGTGCCCTACAAAGAACCAGGAATCAGGTCATGGCGCTTTCCATTTTCTGCTCCACATGGACACTTCCAATCGGCAAGGTTGGACCACGTCATGAGCCCACAAATCGACAAGCCTGAAACATCCTAACAATGAATCTCAACTTAACTCATGGAGTTTAGACGCCTGATAACCTACATCCTGAATGCTCAAAAGGAAGTCTGCATACTAACTTCACACTTCAAACCCTGGCAAAAACCCTGAACCTTACAGACTCTGAATCCTAAAGTCAAAGCCCTCAACCCTCAAAACTCAAACAAGTAACCCTAAATCCTCAGCCTGAAACCCATATCTAGCTACAAGCGTGAAAATTATACTGGGCACATTAACCCATACAACCCGCCATATAATTCTAGTTGGTATCTCATGTGTTTGCCATCTGATCTCCTTTATTTGGGCAACACTATCCCTAAAACCCTGAACCCTGATGCACAAACCCCTGAATTATTTGGCAAATACTCCACGGCAAGCAAGGCGCTCCCCAGTGAACTCACGGCACTCCTGGTTGAGCTGTAGGCAGACGTCGGTTGAAACCACTTTAGGGTCTGCCTGAATCCCCCAAAAAACAGGTAAAATGATGGCCAAGAAAACTATAACAAGGGTCAAACAGACCATTTTTCTACACATGAGTTACACCCAATATTTCCTGCATAATCTCATGGACATGGGTTCCTTATGAAGGCCTGTATTAAACTACAAGAGGGACCGCTATGTCCACTGCTAAGAAGCGAATATTGCCAGTAGCTCGTATCTCTAGGCTCAGCTAGTGTTATTCACAACCCTAAACAACCCTAAGCTCTAAACAGTTAAGGCTGTTGAGGGCTTAGAGAAATTTCTGTTGTTCATCCGCAACTCCTCCTTGACAACCGCTGCTCGCTGTCGCATCTGCTCCGAGCTGACGACCTGCCAAAGCCCGTTCAAAAGAATGTTTAGGGTTTAGGGCGGCAGGGCTTTATGGAGGAGTTCTCAAAATTAGGGGTACCTTTAAAGGCCGTTGTGGGGGCACATAGGGGTTGTAGGGGGATATATAGAATTTAGGATTTATCGTTTGCCAACAACAAGTGGCGAAAATCAGGACTTTGGTATTTGGGGATTTATATTGGGGTTCCTCTATTTTGGGAAACTACCATGTAAGATTTAGGGGCTACATGGAGAGATATAAGGTGACATAGGGAGACATTGGGATTATAATGAGTTTTGCAAAAGAGGACTTAAAACCAATTTGCATATCCAGGACCCTGTCTCCTCGGAGTTGTAGGGGCTGCGTCGAAAAGTTAGAATCGCAAAATAAATAGGCCCCTGGAAGGCTCCTGGAAAGGCCATGAGGGCACCCTTCTGGGCTGGCTGGCAGGGCTCCCAGGCCTGCATGCTGCCACAGAAGTTGGCTTGCAATTGAAGATGATCAGCACGTAACAGCGTTTGAGCCCGGGTCTCCCAACCCTGAAGGAGGCTCACTGCATTAATTTTGTCTTACTTCGTACCTCGCCACCTCGTACTTTCAACCTCTATTTCAGGCTGGACACCTCGAATTTCAAGGGTGACCTAACTCAGGTCACTATAATTTGTGCAGTATTTATGGAAACGACCAAATGGCGTTAGGGTTGTTTTTTTGTTCCAGTGTATAGGCCTATAGGCTGTCTTATAGGCCTAGGGTTAAGCAGAATGCTTCTTTGGTGGTGGAACCGAATTGTAGAGAGCTATTCTACACAGAAGGAATATACACATGTGCCTAAAGGCTATACAGGAACGATTCGAGGTTTATGACCCAGCCTTGGACGTTCATTGTCAGCTGGTCTAACCAAAGCATGCATTCGCATTTCTAACGACGTACAACCTCAAGGAACCCTAAACCCTAAACCCTACAGCGGGGACTAGAGTTTCCCCGCTGAGGGGTTTTGGCAAGATGGCAGACCCTGCAAGAAAAGAGATATTTGACGTGTACAGCCTATGGCTGCGCCTCAAGCAGCAAAGCCCCCGCGGGACCCCAGGGATGATAGGAGCTACATGGAGGTTGCAGGGCCCGCCCTTCTGTGTTTATGAATACGTAGTCTAATGTTAAGAAATACAAGTATAGGCATAGTATAGGTGTCAGCCAAAGTCAGTGTCCCATTACATAGCCAAAACTAGTCGCAAACCCAGCAACCCAGACGGACAGGGTTACCTGCTGAAGAAGATCCACAATCTCCGCGGGCGACTGGGACTTCATCGCCTGCGGAGCCGAACTGCTGAGCTAAGGATATGGAAAGGGCATGTCAATGTGTGCCTTAGGATTTGCAGGTTTGTGCGAGTTCTGCCATAGCTTGTGATTCAGGGGCCTGTCGGACCCTCAGGATAGGCAGGTCCGTGGAGGTCCTTGGGAAGACAGAGGTTTCATATTCTAGTATACTACAGTATATTATAGTATATTAATTATGGTATAGTAGATTCTAGTAGATTAGATTATATTACAATATAGTATAATATAGCTGCACTGATCACATCTGTGGAAAATGAAAGGTTTGACTCGGAAATGCCGAAGGCTGCTGCGAACAACGGTCAAAGCTAAGCCAAGTCTAGGCGTGATGAATTCAACCATGACAGCACCTTGACACCCCTAGTCGTAGACTAGCACAAATTACTTTATAATACCGATGTGCCCCAAACCATGCATCCTCGAATCCCATCACGTTTAAATGAGGATCCAGAAGTCGGACCCCCACACCCTGGCATCACTAATCTCTTGCCAACAGGGCCCCTCTGCCTGCTTAGCCATACCTTTCTCAACGGCCAGACGCACGTTGATGTCCTGGAGTTTGGGCGTGCATGGGCAGATGGGGACATGGGGAAAAATCATGCATATGGATGGATGGATATATATGTATATATGCACGTGTGAAAATGCTTAGGTCTACACAAATATTTTCGCATGTATACCTGTATATATATATATATGTATACATACACTTTCCTTTCTGCGTATATTCATACGTGCATATGTACATGTGCGTGTATATGCGGATACCCATTTGCACATGCATGCAAATTCGCATATACATATACGCGTACATACACAGGTGAATATATATATATATATATTCTATTTCGTGTCTGCAGGCGAATCTGTGAAAGTTTGCGTGGTGCTGCTTCTGCGCCCGACACGCATGCGCATATACATGGTATGTGCGGTAGTATGCAGCTATGACCAAAATCACCAAAGAGTTGCCACAACCGACGCTACCAGTGGGATCCCACTCTCGGAACTCCAACAACCAAGCATTAATCATGAAACACAATTCCCCCCAATTCTTCAGTCTGAAAGTCATAATCCCAAGCCCCAAGTGCAAAACATCCGTTGTTATTCTCTACTTTTATGTCGTTCGCTTCTGCTACGTGTGCAAAGGGAACCCTAAAACCCTAAAGCCATAAACTCACAGGAGCTGCAGTCTAAACTCTTGGTATCCCCCTTCATATCCCCAACAAGTCTCCCCTATAGCACTCCCTATGTAACCCCCCCTTGAAGAAGTTTAGACTATAGCTCGCATGCCAAGCGAAGCTTGGCTCCTGCTCTGGCATCATTCCAACTCCCAGGAAAGGCACACCGGAGCACATGCTGGTCTGCACTGTACCTGCTTAGGGACGATACCCACTTGTGGGGTAAGGGGGACTCAGTAAGCAAGGGGTTTAGGGTATAAGGTTTAGTTTAGGGTTAGGGGACGTAGTAAGTACCCTTACAACCTCTAGAAGCCTTATAAGGCCCACACTTCTCCCCATCATGAACCTACTTAGACTGAAAGTCGCTGACCCTCCCGTCGCAGCGGATTCAGCTGTTCCATGGCTAGATCTCGGCACATAGACTTTCAGATTTCAGGGTAATATTCTACAGTACCTGATCACTTACAGTAGCATGAAAACCCTTGTGCCACGCATATCGAATCATCCAGGAATGAATAGACGGAACAATTGCCATAGGGGAGTTTCGTCTGACGCTCCTACACTCGGATTTGTTTCGCCGAAGACCTCTCCCTACTCCCTAGTCCCTCAACCCTGAACCCCAAACTCGAAACCCTCAAACCCAAACCCTAAGCCCTAGACCCCCAAACCTTACCTGGTCCCGCCGACATAACTCCTTTTTGAGTTTGGTACGGTCTTCTGGTGGAGATCCTTGTTAGAACTCCTGCAAATCGGTACTACATTGGAGAGTTTTGGTAAACTCTCAGCTCCCCTCTCTGAACCTGAATGTAGCGGTCGGAATAAGTACCAATATCATCTTGAGGTACCCCATATGGTAAGTTGTACAAGGGATCTGGGACCAAGGTTTGTCATTATGTGTTACTCTCGGGGTCCAAGTACCCAATAATCATTTACTTCCCCCAAAACCTGTAAGTACTACCATTACTACTCCCAAAACCTCAATACCAAACCATTGAGTACATGGGCCCTATGGGTTAACCCTCATGCGACGCATTGCCTTGCCCGCCATGGGTGAAAGCCACGTCGCACAAAGGCTCCACCTGCAAGTCGCAGGCAAGGAGGAAAGGTACATACTGATGGTGGGTTTAGGGTTTAGGGTTTTAGGGTTTAGGGTAGGGAATGGAGAAAGCCTAAAACCTAAAATCTAAGCCCTAAGCCCTAAGGACTATTGAAGTCGGGGATTGCATATAATGACTGCTCTGGGGATCCACTCCGCAAGTCTCTACTAAGCGGCAGTAAGGTTAGGATTTGGGGTTCGTTACTTACTGGTTGTTAGAAGGGAATAAGGCACTACATATATGGGGATCATGTAGTGATTGTATCCCCTTATTACCTACTAAGAACCAGTAAGCTACATCATTGCAGAGGTTTTACGTAGCAGAACCCTGATGAGTCTCAAAGTTTCCAACGGAAAATGCTTGCACCGTACCTTAAAAGGGTGCCAACCATGGGCAAGACACTCCCAGTTTGAGATCAGGTGCGAGCACCTCCAATTTAGCCAGATTCTACATACAGCCACTTGGATCTCGCAAGCAGAAGGGCTCCAAGAAGGCCTAGATCGCATGCAGAAAACGTTTAAGCCTAAGCCTTAGGCCCCTACAGCTCCTAAACCCTGAGCTTGCGGACCTTGCATTTACACTTCCTAGACCACTGCCCAGAGCAAACCACGTCGCCTTCTGCGCTGGGAGAAGCTCGCTGGGGAGGAAGAGGTGTGGTGAGGATAAACCGGCGGCCGCTAGCTCCTGTACAGGTTGGTATATATATGTATATATGTATACACATGTATGTATAGATATGTACATATCTACACATGTATATGTATGTATGTATGTA